ACTTTATACAATCCAATAATAAGAGGTTTTCTCTATCCATGAATTTACATTTATTTTATATGTTTATTACTTATAAGATAAAGTTGTTGGAATGAATGTGCTTTGGAGAGGAATTATAATGTTTTTAAATTATGAAATCCCTAATGCATCAAAGTGTTACTTCTAAAAAGTTTTTAGATGATGATTTATCCAAATAGGTTAATGATATAAGTTGAGAGATTAACATATGTTATATTTCTTATTTATGAAAGAAGCAACCAATTTCATAGATTAGAGATTTGTGATACTAAAAACTAATATATAGATGCTTGTTACATGAACAAGTTCATTGAATATGACTCATGATAAGAACTCCATTTAGTATTTCATTCAAATATCTATAAAAATATTCTCATGTGTCTAGGGTTGAGCATCAATCAATGTGATCAATTTCTATCATTGAGGAGGGAGCAACTAGTCAAACCAAAAAAATAATAACTGACCAAGGTTTGTTGGTTATCAGTCGATTATGCGATTTAAGGGAAGTGAGGCAAAAGAGGAGATACTCATGATCTTGGGATGTGGTTGTTGTGGGTTTGGGGGAAAAATTAGGCATTTTAGTTTGCCCCTCCCTTCTCTTTCTCTAAACCCAACGACGCCCTCTCTTTCATTCTCTCACCAAAAACGTGTGAAACCTCTCAATTTTATATTGAGATATGAAGGTAATTTAGCTTGGTGAGTTTTGGATAAAATGTTTTCCATTCAAATTTGTGAAAGTTTATAGCCTAGAAAATGCATGTTTTATAAAATTACAAGTTTACTAAAAAGATAAGACGACCAAGAGAGAGTCAATTGGACATGTTTTGAATGGAAAAATTGCATTCTGTTAAGAAGGTATTGATACCTATAAATAAGGCATTGATAGTACCCCAAACCTAGAAATGTGACCTATATCTTAGGTATCGATACCTATGCCTCAGATTGCAAAAAAATAAAAGTAAAATGGACTTTTCATAAATCTTTTAATACTTTAAACGTTCCAACTACCTCAAAATTTTGTTTTACTTTCTCTCACTAGTCTCTCAAATTCTCTTTTCTTTTTTCTTTTTCTACTCTTTCTCATCTTTCTCTCTCATTTTCTTACCAATCAAACTCAGATTTGAGCTCAGATTCTTGTTTTTAAACATCTTGGCGGTAAGATTTCAAAATTTATACTTGTTAAATCTAATCTAATCTCAACTTCTATCTTTCTCTCTAAAAATCTGTTTTTGTTTTAGAAATGCAAAAAAAGACTGTTAAGTTTAGTTAGAGAGAATTAAATATTATGAGATTTATGAAATTAGTGAAATTGTTGATGATGGTTAAATGACTTAAATACTATTGAAGGCTTGATTATTGATTAGACGAACTTTGTTTGTTGGAAGAGCTTATTGGAATGGCACTCCAAGTATGGTGAACGGGCATGACGTTTTAAAATTTATTTTGATAATTATATTATTAAGCATGTTTGATGATCAATATGAAAGGAATGATTTTTAATGGTTTGTTTTAAATGTGGTTTTCGATGCTTATAACTTATGTAAATACATATATGTTATATGTAGTTTTGTACATGGAGACAAGCACCTTAAATGTTTTATCTTCAAAGATTATAATTTGATTTTTAGTAGTAAGTACACTTACTCTACGATTTTGTATGTGATTCTCAACTAGCGACAGCTGTGCTAGTCATTATGCATGGTTTTGGTCTCTTAGCTAGTAGAGAATGAGTGCTAGTCATGTGGTTGAGTTAAGACACATGTTTTTTACTGAGTAAGCATGCTCCTATGATGTCTTAGGTAGTGAGGACTTAAACACTACTCTATGGGTGGACACATCCTCAATCTATGTGTGCACAATGTTTGATCTCTTAGCTAGTAAGGAGTGAGTACTAGTCATGTGGTTAGGTTTTGAAACATGTTTATTATCGAGCATATGTGTTCCTATGGTGTCCAAGGTAGTAGGGATCGAACACCACTCCGTGGGTCTAATTACCCTCGATCTATGATTATAGGTACCCTATAATCAACATTAGGTAGTAAAACTACTACCCATCACAGATTTAGATAAGATTCGGGTACTGATCTTAGTGGACCCAACCTTAAATTTAGTTATATATTTTTTATGTACTAACTTTATTTTATTAATTTAATTTTCATTAATAATATACATATAAAATAATTTTAAATTTAATTTAATTGGTATTTAACGAGTATGAGAATTCAATGGGTAGTATCTATGATATACGAAAATAGGTTCAGATAGCAATTAAAAATTTTAATTGGGTATTTATAAGATTTAAGTATCCTATTAAATAACAGGATTCAGATTAAGGTACTTAAAAAATAATAGGTACCCAAATTATTAACATTCTAGATGAGAACCCTCTTATTGCTTGATTGAAGTTAAATTGTCAAAATTACTCCCAAAATGTCTGCCCAAGAGAGATATATCCCACTCTCATTCTTGGAGCCCAAATTTGAAATTTAAAATACTAAAGAATGAGTTACCACCAAAATGTAAAGTCAATTGGTTTCAATTTTGTCTTTGCTAGCTCTAAAACAAAATAAGTAAAATATATCCACTTGCTCTCATGTTCTTTCTTTTTCATTTTTTTTTCTAATTTTGTATATGTATTGTTTTGTTACACAATGAAAAGTTTCACTATTTATCTCAATTCTTCAAAGTTAGGAGTATCAAGTTATTTTACCACTGGTGTGTATTAGTGTCTAAGATCTATGGAGACTATGACACTTAAAGCATCACAAAGGTTGCAAAGGCAACCCAAATGGGGAGAGATTTGTTTATTATCCATTTTCTTATTTAAAATAATTGAAAATTCGAACCCTATTTTTTTAATAGAAAATATATAAATTAATCATAAAACTTCCAATTAATCACCTTTTAACTTATAACATGTACCTAAGAGGGATAAAGCTTCCATAATGTTGAAAAAGGAATTAAAGCGAAGGATTAGATTATTCTGGTTAACCAAATGCGACGATGATAGGATGAGAGAAGTAAAGAATTGGGAAATTAATTCCTTAAGAAAAACATTCTTAGGGTCCTATATTAAAGTTGCAAAGGTGAAGTTCCTTTCTGTGATTCTAAAGTGACAACATCTTTATGGTCTAAAGATTCGATGCTTCTTGTTTCAATTTTATATAAAATAAAATGATCTTGTTTTTGGAGTTATTGATCCCCGCCGATACTTTTCAAAGTCGGGGAATGTTAGGTTGCAATACAACTGAATTTAAAAAGCCCAAAGGAAGAAAAGAAAAGTGAGATCAACTATCCATTCATGAAAAGCAGTGTTCTTTCTTCTAATTTTTCTATACACGAATATCTTGTTGTTCCATCTTAAAAGCATACTCTCCACTTTGCATACCTCTCACGTTACGAATCACGTCTCTTTTACTTTCTAATAGTTTTTCCGACCAATTCCATATTAACAAATCTCTATATACACACATAAACGTCGGCACGGATTCAAATATCACTTAGTTAAGTAATTTTCTAAGAATAAATAACATGATTGAATCATCAAAATTTAAATTTAAGTTTTTTAAAAAAAGTGGTTGAGAATTTCTATGTAAATCTTAACCATCACACTTACCTCTTGTTCCATTTTACCATTCGTACCGAGACATGTACCACTTCGTATTAGTTGTTTCAGCTATATTGGTCGGAAAATGTTATTTGAACCGATACATCTTGTTTTTTATTTTAGTTTTTTGTCCACCAATACTTTTTTATTTTTGCATGATTTTGATCCATATATATATATAAATGTATGTACGTATATATAGAAATTAGTTATTGCACTTGTTTAATGGCAACTTCTTTTACATTTGTAAAATATTTTTATATTAGTCTCATTTATTTGATGTTTAAAATATTATAGTAACTTGTATTTATATAAGAATCTATGAAATGCATATATATAAAGAAATATTAAGGTTGAAAATTCTGAAATAGTACACCAAAACAAAATGGTAAATATATGTATCTTCTTTTATATAAATTGTTGGTTCAAAAGAAAAGCTGTCTTAGTGTACACTTGTAGAAAAATAAATAATAAAGAATCAAGATCATGTCAACTCAAGAAATGCAACAACGTCCTTTGATGAGTCTTAAGAGGTTATATATATTTCTCAACTCGAACAATATGCCAACCTAAGAATAGGATGTCATAAGCATGAAAGGCCAATGTTCACATGCAAAATAACATTAATATTGCACGTATAGTGAAAGCATATTCTTCATTTGATATTTTAGATATTATTAACAAAAAGGGGGAAATGAGGTATGCATTGAACCGGCATGAAACTTGATTCAGTTCTTCAAACATAATGTAGTTGACATATTAGTTGAAGGGTGCGTATCACAGATTTTGCATTAATAAGAAATGCGATGAGTCTTGAGCTTATAAATAAAAACTTTTCTCCACATAAGAAGTATGTTTTTTTAATTGAAAACGTGAACCTATGACAAGCAATATTATAACTTACTAGGGTCGAGGTAAGATCAAGGTGAGTCCCTCTCTTTTATGGGTAAAAAGAATCATGCATCGAGGATACTGCACAATTGTACACTAGTAAAAAATGAGATGGAACTTGAATTTATAAATAAAAGTCTTCATTCGATCTAAGACATGTGCATGGCATTGCACCTAAAATACAAAAATGTAGGATAGTTCTGTTCCCATGCTTTAAAACTTGGTTATTGTAGTAATGTATAAATAGTTGTCTTGTTTAATACAAATTAAGAACTGTACTTGCATGAAATAGGCCCTAACCCCAAAACAATCAAGGAATAAGTTGAAGAAGTAGCAAAGAAGTAAGCATACGCATTCGCCAACTTGTCTAACATCACTTAACCAATATAAATTACAATATGCTGCGATTTCAAGTATATTGGGATATAGCTTAGAAATTCATATGAAATAAATAAAACCTTATGCAAAACAACAATTAAAAGTGTAGCAAAGATACATAATTATATATATTAATAACAGGATCAAAGATACATAATTATACAAAGTAGCTCTACGTTGCTAACTCTCTATCATTCCACCCCCTTGATATATTGTAGCCCCTTTCACTGTAAACCCATGTTAGTTTGATGTTTTCTTTTGCCCTCCCCATAATTCTATCACACAAAAAAAATAAGAGAAAAAAGGAACAAAAAAAGGGAAAAAAGCTTTTAAAAAAAAAAAAAGAAAGGAAAAAGAATTTTGCCTCATCTATGGAATCTGTCAATCAGTGTTCTTCTCATGTCACAGTTCCTGAACTCTGAAAATGATTTGTTTATCCACATATTCCAGAATTCCAATGCCACCAATACCCGAACTTTCATCTGCACTATTATCTTCAATGGCGATGTTTAAATCTAGAGAGACAGAGGAGTTTTGCTGCTCCATATCTTCCTTTCTGTTTCCCTTCTCTTCTGTCTCAACCATTGTTGGCTTTCCCCTGGGAGAACAAGCTCTTGACACTGAACTAAAGCTTTCGCAGCTGAAAATGATAATCGCATCCTTTAGAGGAACAGTCTCACCATCTGAAAGTGTTATCCTTCCGCCTTCAATTGCTTGCTTAATGCCTTTCTGAGAACAATAATCAACTTGTTCCAAGTCTTCCATAAAGAACACACGGTGGGGATTCTCATTCAATGCCTCACCAAATCTCTGAAGATAACTGCTCCCTGACTCATCTCTCTTCCTTTTGTTGCTGGATTCTTCATTCGAATCTGCCCTTGTTGATGAGAAATTGCTCAGACTTATTGAGGCAAAGTTGCTTTGAGAACCGAAAATGAGTCTGGCTAACTCCCTTGCAATCTTCTTCTTTGCTTCATAGTCAACACCTAAGAAGAATAGCCAAGTTTCTTCCTTGAGCTCTCTGTGCTTTAACCAGCTTTTAGAATTTCTCACGCCTGACCTGCATTCAAGGATGGTGCTAACAATCTCAGGAATCATCTCCTTCTGCCGTGGAACCTTTTTCTCCAATGCATTGCATAAAATGCTCAGGTTTTCAGCATTAAGAATCTTGAACTCGTTGAGGCCATCAATATCCTCCTCAATTGCCTCACTTGAAGAAGCTGAATTTGGGCTAGAGTTGGGATTTGAGAGGAGGTCTGGCTTAGCATCATTTCTCAAGGGGAGACCATACCCTTCGTCTGCACTCTCGGATACCCAAAACTGGTGTTCTTTGGGTGACTTTTTAGGTTCAAAAATGACTGGCCACCTAAGATTAGTCTTATGCAAGTTTGCGTTTCGCTCTTGTGAGGAGGCTGAATTTGGGGAAGAAGAAGATAATGGGGAAATGTTAAGAGCATCCTCAGTGTTGTCGTGGTCCTTGCTGGCTGAACTTCCAAATGAGTTCCATTTCCTGTACAGATCCCTGACATCGACTGAATCCTGATACAGAGAAAGCAAAAGAAATGTAAATCTCAACTTGTTGCAATCCAGATGTATAGTATGATTAATTCTACATGTGTAGTACTCTGGAGGATACCTTATCATGGGAACCGTTTGTTTTGCTTTCTTCCTTGTAGTTTTGGAGCCATGAAGGCAAACTTGAAGTGGAAGAGACGATTGCAGTGATGGACTCCTTCTTTTGGAAACTGCTTGCAGTGCTTTGAGCCTCCTTATCAAAATTGAGCAATCTAGCCGTGAAGGAAGTCTGGTTCTTATTTACTCCAGCTTCATGCAGTGGCCAACTAATACCATCTATAGTTGCTTTGTTCCTATGCTGAGGCTGAGAGTCACTGGAATCAAGAAAAACGAAAAAGCATGATTAACATCAGTGCCACACATGTAAAGAGGAGAAAAAGAAAGGTAAAACAAGGAAGCCTTTTTTCTGGAAAAAGTAAAAAAGCTGGAGAGTATCAAATACCATTTCAATTATTATTGATTTCAAAACAAATATCTAGTTTCCTGGCCATTGGATTTACCTGTCAAGGTTAAGACTGAGGCCCAAGCTGTCGACTGAGATTGTAAGAGGATAAAGTTCCCAAATTGTCTCAAGAGAAGGATAGCCTGTTTTGCACTTCATGTAGGTTTGGAAAGTTGCAATTCCCATAAGAAACAATTTTCCAGTCTCCCTAATTCCACACACCAATCTTTTAAGCTCCATGACTATGTGCTCCACCGGACAGTAGAAGTTTCTTCTTTGCTCACCACAGTTTGACCAAAACTCTGAAATCCATTTGAGATCACCCAAGTATAGGAGAACCCCTCTACCCATATAACTCTTCACAAGGCACTTAAGTTCTACAAGCTTCTGCTCCACTTCATCTTTGGGAAGATTTCTCAATGAAAAAAGTGGAAGACTGATAAACTGCATGTATCTTAAATCCCCCGAGACTTGCCCTTTCTCAAACTTGTCCATTACCCCTCTAACTACACTCTCAGCACTGCCTACACACTCTCCTATGATCACTGTGTTTCTCCTCTTGTTCACTACTGTGTTCAAAACATTTGTTACGTCTTCATTCCTAACTTGATCTAGCGGTTTGCTTAATGACAACCCAAACCCAACCTGACCATAGGACATAGAATGAGACACGTTAGCACCAAGAACTTGGGGCTTGGCGCTTTCCTTAGTCTGGCAACTCGCGGAGACAGAGGGACTTTGAGAACAAATCTCCAAGGACACAGTTTGTTCCACTTTGCTTTTAACTTGGGTGCTAGAGAAACCAGCTTCTCTCATGACCCTACTAACACTGGGATCATCTAAAATGGAGATTATGAGATGTTCTAACTCTATTTTGAGAGCTAAAATAGGTTGCTGTTGGTTCTCAATGGAGCCTCGGCGTTGGTGAGCCTGAGCACGCTTGAAGGCGGCAACCAAGGCGTTGGAGAGGGAAGGATGATGGGAGTGAGGGCCTAAGAGAGGGCTAGAAGTGGATGCAGGGAGGCGATTAAGTGCAACATTGAAGCAAAGCTCTAAAGCTCTAAATTGGAGAGGATGAGAGTGAGACTGAAGACAAGCTCTTCGGAGCAGACCTGTAGAAGAGGCAAGCATAGCACTCGCCACATGGAGAGGCGTGACTTGGGCATGACCACGACGTCTAGCAAGACCAACTGCTTGCTTCACTAGGTTTGCAGCCTCAGCAGTTAAAGCTTGCTGCACAGTGCAAACTCCTGCTCTCATCTTTCTTTGTGTTTAGGCTATCAATACACTCTCTTACAGGAGAAACAGGTTTCAAAGATTGGTTCTGGGAAGAAAGAAAATGAGAAATCAGAATGTTAGAGCTTCAGGCTCGGTGGGTTTCATCCGGATAGAAAGACAAACGATGCTGCTGCTGCAGAGCAGAGAATTGTTATCGGTATGGTAAAGTAAAGTATCAGCTGCCAAAATGAGGCCGCAGTTTTCTGGCTTATATTATGGATGGGGAACCAAAGAGGATGTTTGGTCTTTGCTGAGATATTGTGAGAAGTGGGGTTTATGCTTTTCTTGTTAGTGAGGGAAAATATTGGTCTTTGTATGTGAAAGTGGTTTGCATGTGATATCACTTTGCCTTTTCTCTCTCTTGTGACACAAAGCTATGTGTGGATAAATTAAAAGTTTAAAGCTTTAATGGACTAGTTATTTATATTTCAAAACACTATGTCTATGCTTTAAGAAGAAATGATGGAATAAGCACTTTTGTTTCTTGTCTTTATAAAAATAAAATAAAAATAGACTAGAAGTGATGGGTAATTTACATTCTCAAAGATCTAAAAAGAATAAGCTCAAAACTAGATGATAAAAAGCGAGAGAAGGTGGAAAAAGAGAGCCAAAGGCAAAAGGAAGATGGCAATCTGCCAATAGCGAGGCGGCTGAGAAAAAGAAGAGCGGACTGTCTGTCTGTTTGAAGGGAATTGGGAACTGTGGAATAAATGCTATTGATGATTGAAGGCTGTTTTTGCATGAAATTTGTGCAAACACATTCTCTCTGCATAAAAATTGCTTTCATGTCTTTTATTTCTTTTCCAATCACTTGGCTGCTCTACAGCTATGAATCATTAAATTATTACATAGTTTTTTTTTCTTTATTAAAAAACTCATAAGTATTATTTAAATAAATTTTTATTTTTTTAATTATATTTAATTAATTTTATATACTTTTATTTTAAATTGAATAAATTTTTATAAGTGACAATGCATTTATTTTTGATCAAACAAACTATTATAATTAATAGTTGATTATTTATTATTAATAAAAATATTTTTTGTTATTTTATATTAATATAATATTGACATGATGTTAATATGAAAAGTAAAAAATATAATATGATTATATATCATCACATCACATCAATATATTATGTCACGGTAACATTACGTGATATAAACTAATAACCGACACCACAAAAGTTTTTGTTTATTCAAAATAAAAATATAAAAACTTATTTGATTCAAAATAAAAATATAAAAATTTGATTGAGCAAAATAAAAAATATAAAAACCTATTTGAATTTTTTTTTGTATAATTGAGAGTTGTTTTTAGATATTATGCTTTCTCTTTTCTTTTCCTCTCCTACTTTTTTTTGTTATAACAAAAAAAAATTAAAATACTAAAATTAAAATTGTTATCCAAATCTCAATTCTGTCTTGCTGCTTGATATAAGGTACTCCCCCTCTTTGATTTTATTTGTCCATGCAATTTATTTTTGGGTTCATCTTACATATATGATAGGTGTTGTCATTCTAGACTATTCAATTCTTTAAATAAACTTTGATGGCAATGTCAAATATCTAAATTCTAATTCTCTTGTATAGTATAATAACATAATATCAATCTTATGTAAAATTTTAAAATTTTTTTACTTCAATTTTGACATGATAATAGTATATATAAGGGAAAAAAAAGACTTATCTCTAATTAAATAACAAAATTAAGCAATAAACAAAAAATTAAAAGAAAACAGTTTAAATAGTAAGTGCATAAACATACGTAATTCATTTGAATGTTATAACTTATTAATTAAATTAAAAATGTCAAAGGAATTTCGTTACTTAAAAATTCAAAAAAAAATTAGTTTTTTCTTTCTTTGTGCATGTCAAGTCACTTTTAATGTATTTTTTATGTTAGAACAAAGCTTATCCGAATTTAAAAACTAACCTAAATTCAAAGTTAACCAAAATTAAATCAATCTTGACTCGAACTTAAAACGAACTACACCTTAAATTAGATAAGAAGGCAAAATGTATTGTACTTTCTTATTTTGATGTTTCACTGAATTAAAAAAAATTATAAATATTATATATGTTATTATAAAAATGATATTCAATTTGTGTTAATTTAAAAAAATGAATTTAAAACCTTATTATATCAAAACACAAATTATCCATACGTGTATTGAGCCGAAATGGCCCCCATTTGCAACTAGAATTGTCAAATTGCCACACTCAATTGAGGGTGCAAACTTTTTTTTCAAATATTGAAATATGTTTTATTTATTAATTAATTTTTTTCACAATTTGTCACGAGTTTTGAGGGGTGTTCGTGTACATGTAAGGAGATTGTGTCATACTACAATGGCTATTGAGAGAAATAATAATAATAAAAAATATGTTATTAATAAATCATATAATTTATATATATCATCTTATAAATATGTTATTTATAATTTTGCATTTTGATTTGGTTAAAAAATAATCAAAATTTAACAATAATATATATATATGAAAAAAATAAAGTTGTTATGAAATAAATATTAAGAAAGTATAGAGAAATAAAAAAAAAGAAAGTATTTAAAGAGAATGAAAATGTTATTGAAGTGTAATAATCCCTTATCTAGATTAAATTTACAAGATGAAGATAATACTATGAGATTAAATAGATAGATTAAATCCTAATTTTTATCTAATCTAATTTACATCAAAATCTAGATTTACATAGTATAAATAGATATTCACAAAAGTATTTATAACACTTTCCCTTGAATATCTATTGCATCAAGAATATGTCTAGTTAACACCATACAAGGAAAAACTTCATGGGAAAAAATTAGAGTAAAGGAAAAAGAGTATATAATTCTTTTCAAGAAAACGCTTTTAAAATACTGCTTTATTAAAATCCTTATAAAAAAAAAAACCTTGATGAAGGAAAAGAGTATTGTGTGTATTTTACTCCCGTTGATAACTGCATTATAAAAATCTTTAAAATGATGTATTCTAATCTTTTGTATTAACTTTTCAAATGTTGTAATAGGAATGATTTCGATGAACAAATCTACTAGATTGTCACTTGACTGAATTTATTGAACATTAATATCACCATTTTCTTGGATAACATGAGTGAAGAAGAATTTTGACAAAATATATTTTGTTCAATCACTTTTAATGTATCTTTCTTTTAATTACGCTATGCAAGCGACATTGTCCTCATATAACATTGTTGGAATTTCCTTCTTGGTTGACAAGCTGCACATTTCTCAAATATGTTAAGTTACAGATCTTAACCAGGCACATTCATGACTTGTTTCATGAATTGCTAAAATTTTTACAAGATTAGAAGAAGTAATAGCTATGGTTTGTTTTACAAAACACTATGAAATAGTCATACCTTCACTTATGAATAAGCAACATGTATGATATTGAGCTTTGTGTGGATTAGATAAATATTCTACAGCTGCATAACTAATTAAATATGATTTTAATGCATTTGAATAATATAATCCCATATCCATTATTCCTCAAAGATATTGAAGTATATATTTAATTCCATTCCAATGTCTTCGAGTTATAAAAGCACCATATCTTGCTAATAAATTTACAACAAATAATATATTAGGTTGTGTATTCCTAGCAAGATACATTAGTGCTCAAATTACACTAAGATATGGTACTTCAGGACTAAGAAGTGTTTCATTATCCTCACGTGGTCAGAAAAGATTCTTTTTCACATCGAGTGATCTTACAACTCAATAAATGTGTTTTATCCATACAAAATTATTTTAGCTATTTTGCTATATAATTAGATTAATAGACAAAAATTTTATTTGTCAAGTGTTCAATCTGAAGACTCAAATAAAACTTTATTTTTTTAAGGTCTATAATCTCAAATTCTTTCTTTAAGTAATCTATGGCTTTTGATAACTCTTCAATAGTTTCAATAATGTTTTGTTCATTAACATAAACAACAAATTATCAAAAATTGATATATGAATCTTTTTATAAAAACACATGGGCATATAAGATCATTTTTATAGCCTTTTGTTAACAAATATTCACTAAGGCGATTATATCACATGTATCCAAATTGTTTTAACAGATACAGATTTATTTAATTTGATCAAATAAATTTTTCGACGATTCAAATTTTGTGTTTCAAGCAATTTAAATCCTTTAGGTTTTTTCATATAAATATTGATATCAAATGAGCCAATATAAATAGGTTGTAGCTACATTCATTAGATGTATTTAAATCTTTTCATTTATTGCTAACTAATTAATATAAAATTATAATTGCATCCACCATGAGAGAATATATCTCATAATATTAAGTCTTTAGGTAAAACCTTGTGCAACAAGTCATGCTTTATATCTCATAATCTCATTTTTCTCATTTCGTTTCGCACAAATACCCATTTATATCTCATTGGTTTTATACCATTTGATGTACGAACTACAAGTCCAAAACCTTCATGTTATGCAATTAAATACAACTCCTCTTTAATTGTGTCTTTTCACATTGATCAATCATTTCTATGTTTACATTTTTCAACAGATGTAGGTTCAAGATTCTCATTTTCTTTCATAATATTGAGTGCTACATTATATTCAAAAAAATCATCAACGTTTATTTCATTCCAATTCCATCTTTTCCCGTCATGACATAATTGATTAAGATCTCTTTATTTTCAATGATTTTAGATACCTAAATTTCTTTTGAAATTTTTAACAATTATGTCAGGGGTCTCTTCTAGAATTCCAATTTCCTCTTTCTGACCATCTTGAATATTTGCTATTTTTCTTTTCAAGGATTTTATCTTTAGAACTGATTGGTCTCTACACTTCTAACGTGCCTTATCTAACAAAGAAATCAATGCTAATAGAAGCATTTATAGCTAGTATATAAGATTTAGTTATTCTCTTTAGGTTAATAAATTCATCTGGCAACTAATTTTCTATATTTTGCTAAAGAATTATCTTTTGAACTTCAA